GCACTGGGGCTGGGGGCTCAGCGAGTGTGAGGTCGTGTCCTGAGATTGTACCTTCCTGTTTGAAAAGAGTGACTTGTAAATGTTTATCTCAGCTGGATGTGAGAATGTGGTCTACGTCTATGCTCCCCAGTTCCCCCTTGAGGAGCTGTGCAGTGGAACAGCTGCATATCCCTTCACATCCTCCTCTTGCTGTTAAACATTTACGTCTCTCCCTTCAGTTCTTTGCCAGGTTTCCCCCTGCTCTCATTTGGGTTTCTGGTTGAAGGCTGCAGGACTGGATTTAGGGTTTCTGCTGAAAAGAGCGAGAAAGGGATCAGTCCAGCACAGGACGACTGGCAGTCCATGTTCAGTGTCATGCATCATGGAGTTTCTTTGTGTTCTACCAAAATGTATTTCAGAGTAAAATGGTTGAGGCTACTTCTGTAGAGAACAGACCAAAGTATACAGAGGCTGGTTGGGGCTACTTCTGTAGAGAGCAGACCAAAGTATACAGTATATTGGCTTCCCTTTTGCTGGTTTTGGACAGCTAGGGCTGCTTTCCGTTTCCTACAGTGTTCCAATAGAACTAAGTCACATGTGCTTGGTAATGGAGGCTTCTGAGACCTGGGGCTTCTGTAAAATGGAAAAGAGCAAAGTATTATTTATACAGTATAATATTTTGATTTACTAAAGAGCTGTGAGGTGGATGTTATCATGAACTACTGTGCAGCAAGAAAAGTTCCTAAAACATGCACCAACTGACTCCATCTCCAAATCATTGCAGATAACGCAGTGTTTAGTTTCTAATTAGACCTATGTTGTGCTAATTCTCCTGAGCAGTGTAGGTGATTGCTGGAGCTCGGTGCATCCAGCATCCAGCCTCTCGGAGAGACTGATTGGCAGGATGAGCACACACTGATTGGTGTGGCCTTGCTCCAAGGGGGAAGGAAGAAATAAAGGCAGGTAATAATCTTCAATTAGACTAATGATATTCTAGTCCTAAAAGGATCAGAAGAGAAACATTTAACTGAAAATAAAACCCCAGTGTATAAAGTTCACAAATTATTTATTTACTTTGGATAGTCTTTTGCACTGTTTCGTAGGAGAGGATGGACATTATTCTTTTTTGCATGCCTCAGTCCCCTATATTAAAAATATAGATGGTTCATCCCAAGTGCTGGTTTCTTGTGAGTAATAAGTGTAACCTTCAAGGCAAAATCTTGTCAACTGTTTCTTGATGAAACATGCCAGAGCAGCATAGGCATTTTACGTTGCTAAAATTATTTCTGGATCATTTTTGCTAGCACATTTGCTTTGTGGCCAGCTCAAGTCAGTATGTTCAGTAGTGCAGTTCCACTGTGGAAATAAAAATAGCAACATGGATTTGATATAGACAGTCTCTTTGAACTAGAGTGGATTAGTGTAAGGAGCTTCTCCTAACTTTAACCTTTCAGTCAGATTCTAAACATTGTTTGGCTTTTTCAAATCATCACCACTGCACTCAGCACTAACAAAGGCTGTACCAGTGACTCTTGGAAGTCATTCATGTAAGCATTTGATTTTTTTCACAGCCTGTAAAAACCTTTTTTCTTTCAACCGTCTGAAGTCCCATGTGAGGCTGAGCTGTTCCTTTGCATTAGGGGCTGGAGCCCCTTGTAGATGTGTTAAAGGAAAGGGGCTGGCTAAGGAGTGGCATTTTCTCAGGATGATCAAGCTGTGGCTCGCTGCAAGTCCCATCTGCCCTCTCCACATGCAGTGTTTGAAGCCCTTCCTGGAACAAGCTCCTCGGGGATTTACCTGCGTGAGGTTGCTGGTACAGGGTCACTGGAAAGGCAGATGGGACACAGGATGGCAGACTTGGACCAGTTGCATTTGGCAGAGAACAGATCTATGGAGTAGCATAGTCACTGTATGGAGCAGAATTTCTATTTAACTGGTATTCCTTGATCCCCAGTCTGGTACAAATAACAGTGGTACCATGCATCTGTTGGATTTTCAGAATTGCCAGGTGGGCTCACAGGCTGCAAAGGGGGTATTTGTGCAGATCATGATACACATAAATGTATTTGCTTCTGTCTGTGTGCTTCAGCCTGCCAGTAATACTTTTTTGCAGGCTATGTGAATCAAGGTTGGATTTTGCTTTGTCAGTTGATGTCGAGGTGAATAAAGTCAGCCTTGAAAGCCTCAACCATATCCCAGGTAATAAAACTTAATCATGAAGTAAGAACCATAAATTTGTCTTCTACTTGAGAAAGGAGGAGGTAAGGTAACCCAAACTTCCATTTACTTCCCCTCTGATCCTTTTTCTATTTTGTCTATCAGAAACTGCAAAAGGAAAGTTTTGGACCTTGTGAGAGCATTAGAAAACTTGATAAAAAATCACGTGGTATAACCACTCGATCCAACTATGGGCAACGTGTTTTAACTCTATGGAACTGCCAAGTGCTCACACTTTGTAACCCTGAGAAAAAGTGTGCCTGCTGCAGATCCATGGTGCAGATTAGGTCATTTGCTCATATTTCAGTTACTGTGTTTTTCCAGTTTCTCTTTCACTACTGCTCTATTAAAGAAGTGCAGCTACCTGGAAGGCTGCAGGCATTGAAAGGGCTGCAGCATTAAAAAGAGAAGTTTGGGGTCCGTTTTCTTAGTCAAACAGGTTTTTTTGTATGCCAAGTGCAGTATTTTATGCTGTGCAAGGAAAAGGATATTGTTTGCCTCACTTTAAAATAACACAAAAGCCGTTCCAGCTTTCCTTGAAGCCAGTGACAAGATTCCACTTGCTTTCAGTGGGAATTTGCAAAAGACCTGTGATGCAGTTTCTGTCAGAGCAGAAGAAAACTGTGACTTCATGGTACCAAGCAAATGTAAAATGAATGAATTTCATGCCATATCATTTGCACAATTCAGAGAGGAACTGCTTTGAATTTGGAGGAAGTGTCCTGTAAAGCTGTTACTCAGGCTCTCATACTTTGTACAGAGAAAGAAGTGTGTGACTGCACTCAGACCTGCTACTGTTCTGTTGGAGTGTGTATTAGAGCACAGGGAAGGAGGGAGCACCTTGTCTGGGGTGTTTCCTTCAGTTTGGAAGGTGAAGTGTCCAGCTACTGTTTGAATGTGTAATAATCACCAGGAAATTTCAAAGTCCAAATATTTGTGTCAGTGAACTAAAGCATCCTTAGTATGTCTTGTGCAAAGCAGAGGTTGAAATGGAAGAACCCCAAGGAAAACATCTGTCTCTTTAAAGTGAGTTTTCCCTAGGGTGTCCCTGCCACAAGGTAGCTGGAGTTTGGCTGCCCCTGTTCTCTGTGTACTTGCTGCTCCTTGTGCCTGTGCAGCCCTGTAAAAAGGAACCCAAGAGTGAACCTGTGGCATCACTGGGACTTGTGTGAAGGGAAGTGTGTGGAGAAAATACCTTCCAGACATCCACATCAGCAGCATGGCAGGAAAAAGAAATGTCTCGTGTTCTTTCCATGTGAGATCAGACTTAAAATTCTCCAGAATAATGAAGCTTCTCTGTAGCTGTGAAGAGCCCTGGGGCCTTGTCAGGCATTCTTGCACTTCTCAGCTTATTCGTGTTGCACCTTGATAGAGATAAGAGTAATTATTAGATCCTCAGCTTTAGACTCCCTACAGTTACTCAGTGCACAGAGTTTCCTTTATCTATCATTTTCTACTCTACAGTTTACTTTACAGTTTACTTTAGGGAGATTGTATTCTTGCTGCTTCTGGAAGAATTTAGCTACCAGCAAAGGACATGGTTTTGAACTCCATGGGATGTTACTGATGTTTAAATCATCCTGTATCTTCCAAATAGTGGCCACTGCATCACTTTTCACAATATACCTTGCCTTAAGATTGAAAAACAATTAGTGATTTTGAATCATCAGCTTCAGCAATCTTCAGAGGGACCCAAAATCTTCAGAAATTGCTGTTATGGAAGATTGCATCTTCTAAAATCACATTTCCCTGAGTTTTGAAAATGTAAGGCTTGCATCAATATTCATAAGAGACCCAAGCTCAGCACTACTTAATTAAAGAATACCTTTATGGAAAGTACTTCACATGCACAGTAGATGCATTTTATAACCTGTTTGAAATGAATGTGTAGAGCCTGATGTTAGCAAAAAGGTTAAAGTTACCAAACAGAAGCATTTGAAATTGGGGATGAGTATGTTGGTCTCCTGTTCCTGGCACTGGATTTCCTTGTTCATGGTGTGAAGGATCAATACTGAAGAACTGAAGTACATTTTGGACATTCTGTAATGTTTATGTTCTCTCCAGATCTATGTGAAGTTGGAATATTTGTGCGCTTATGTTGATTTACCTCCATGTTAATGTCCATGAACTGACTCTTCCACAAAGGTAGAACACACATTTTCTTGCTGACCTGGAGAGAAAATGATTCTCTGGTGTTTATTCTGATGAATTTAAAGATATTTCACACATATTTCCCCAAATTCTCTGCTTGTATGTGCTGGCACAGCATCACTCTACTCAAAACAAGCATATACCAGTTTATGAGGCAGGTGCTTTGGTGAACTACAAATGGTTTGTTCTCAGTTCCTGAGTAATCAAGAGAGGGAAAGTTTTCATAAGGTTTGGAGTGTAGCAGTCCTATAAGGGGTACACTCTGGGTGAGGTGTGTGTATATCCTAAAGGAGATGTACTGGAGCTAATGTGCTCTTCTGGTTCAGCTGAAGAAGGGGAGGAGGAAAGGGGTTGGCAAAGAAGGAAAGCTGTGAGCACTGCCAATAGTCTTGAGGGCGGTTCAGGTCAGAAAGTTCAAAACCACTGCTTAAAGGAACAATGCAAATATTTTCCATCCTTTCCTGTGAAATGACATGGTTTGTTTGCTGTTGCTTGTTCATCTGCTCTGCATGGTATGTCACATTTATCAGTAAAACAGACTGTAGGGGGTAACAGTACTATGTTTATTTTATGATGTTTTGACTTTTGCTATGTTTATTCTGTGTTTTCTGACTAAAATCACACTCAGATAGCTTTTTCTTCTGCTGTTACAGCACATCTGTCTCAGGTTGCTCTTAAAAAGATGAAGCAGTAATCTGGCAAAACGAACTCAAAACACACAAGGAGTCGTCATAGGAGACTAATCTGCAAGGTATTCAGGTATTTACACTTTCATATCCTACACCAGCAATTGGTGCACATGTGATGTGCCCTGCGGTTCCTGCACTGAAAGGAAAATGGTCTTGTTAAGAAGTCACACAAAGTGATGAGAAAATTCTGAAAATAAATGAGAAATCAGGTGAAGGTTGAAAGTTGTTTAGTCAGAATGCCCCCTGCAACTTAAAGAGTGAGCCAGGTTTGAAAGTATTGTGGCAGAGTTGTAGCTCCAGATTCAACACAAGTTGATGCTGCTGAATGTTCCATCCCATGTGCTACTTCCCAGAGCACCAATGGCCATCTGAGGAGTGGTGGACATGCACTGGAGCAAAGGGAACAGTTTCTCTTCTGCTGATGAGCTAAGGCACTGCAAAACTTCCAGTGACCTCAAGAATTAGGTCCTCTGTTAGGCTTACAGTGAGGGCATTTTAGTTCCCAGGGATACCAGGACATCCCTTGTACTATTTGCCAGGCCTCAAGGATTTTAAAGAGCTTTAAGTTGTGTGTATGTCCTGCATACAGCTGAGGAAAGACCAGGCGTTTACAATTCCTCTCAGTGCCAAAGACTTTCTAGTTGGACAGCAAGAACAATCTAGATTATAGGGAAATAGATTTTTGGTTTAGGGGTACATACAGGAAAACGTAGGAAGGCCTGCTAAGCCTGTGTTCCGTGTCTCTGGAGGAAGGAGAACACTTGTGGGATGATTCCCTTTTCGCACTCCTCGTGAGCGGATGGTGACAGACATGCTGTGGATGTGCAAAGTGACAACTTAGCAGCAACAAGTGGTTCCGTACATGTCTGTATGACGATATAGAAGTGGAGGTTGGCTGTACACAGCTTGGTCCCCTTGCAACTGATCAACTGGAAAAGCAAACGGGCTGCTGAGGAACATAAAGGTGAGAGCTGTGCTTGCAGAGTACCTCAGTCAGTAGCAGGGGCAGAGAAAAACTTTTACTGGGACAGTCATTGCAATCTTATGTTATCTCATTGCAGTGATTAAGCTGTTGCAATTAACATTGCAAACTATTGTTCGTAAGTTAAGTATTTTAAACAAAGCCACAAAAGGTATTTCCTAAGGGTTTGTATTTCACAGCTATGTCACTGACATGTGAAAAATCACTCTCCTTAAATGTTACACCATATGTGACTGGCTGAAAAGCAAATATGAGTAAACAGCAAAGTCACTCTGAATATTATTTTAATTCACGAACTGCACAGTGTATCAGCTTCCAGATATTTATTCAAGTTGATACTTTATTATGTGTGCATTCCTGTGGTTTTGGCAGTGTGCTCATAGACAGTGTTGATGTACTCTTTCAAATTCTGCTACTGAAGTGCTTCTGTGACTTCATGCAGTTTGCTTCATCTGAGTGAACCTCAGATAAGCCATATACAAAATTGGTATTAAATCCCAGAGCACCAGGTTTTGCTGCACATAATGCAGATGTAACACGTGGGACCAGCGAATGATGGCGTAGCATTATTAGTACTTTTCCTTTCAGTGTTTTGTCTTCACTGGCGTTTGGTTTTTTTTTTCCCAGCATTGGACCTCCAGTGCAAGTCGCTCACGGTAACATTCTAAAAGTAAAGTCAGTGGTGAAAATTCTGGTTTTCGTTCTAAGTGTTTTTGAATCTTGGGTCAGATTGTTGGCCTTAAGAGACATCCTCAGTCTCACTTTGGAGCTACAGTATTCTTTGGAAGAACAGGAAATTGCTGTCAGAACCTCCTAATGTAAATTTAGGAAAGGTTTCTGTTCAACTTTGAGTGATACTGTTTTCCCGTAAGAAGATTAATTGTATCTAAAGAATTTACACTTCCAAACCTTTTGAAAATAAGTACACTCCAGATTAAGAAGTGGTTTTCTACTCGCGTAGTTCCTTCAGAAGAGTTAACACTCAAGTAGAGGAGAAATGAACCTTGCGTGAATTTTATTGACAACAGATAGGAAGAATAGTCCCTGAGAACATTCTGTAAGCTGAAATTATGGACTAATTCTATACCCAAAGATGGTGGTCAAACAAACATCCCGTATTTTAGATACGAGTTACTGACCTTACTTAATGTTCTAAAAACTCATTGTTATGGGGAAGATAGACTTTGCTTTGAATTTCAGGTTGGGATCGGTCCTCAAAATAAGAAAACTCTAAAAGTCAAATTTTCCTCTTAGAAATTTCAGACTATATGTGGTTTGAGTAACTGTGAGTAACAAGCTATTTTAGAAAGGAAGGGTTTTTTCCTTGCAAACCTTTCATGTTTCTAACTCTACCCTGTTACACTATTTTCTAAATAAATTACAGTTGTAATTTACAAAGCTGCTTACAAGTATTGCTGTATTTGAGATGCAGATTTTAATTTGGCTTGGTTTTCATAGAAAGAGTAATTCCATTTCACAAATTTTGTTTAACTTTGGGACTTGAAAAACTTGAAATCAGTGTATTATCACAGTTGGTATTTCTAGAAGATGATGGCATTTTAAAAGGAACTTTTCCTAATTAAAAAAAATTTGCAAAACTCTGAGAGTCATGGTCCTTCTCATTCCAAAACAGTCTGCATTGAGCATAGGAAGAGTTAGTATCAAAAACCTAATAGAGAATGTTATGTTTGCTGGGTCTGGTAACCAAGGCAATGGCTCCAGAAAGTGCAGGAGTGTTGGTTCCTTGATTTGAACATTGATTCTGCCCTGAGTGGTGACTGGGATGTCTGGTTAAGTTGATGGTGAAGTCTGGATGCCTTTGTTTCAAAACCACAGCTTTGCACCTATTACACAGCCCAGGTGTGAGCAGTTCCTGATGCAAAATGAACAGTGGTGGTTATTTGAGTGTCAGTTGTAAAATCTAAGTGTAATGAAGACACTGAAAAGGAATTAAAAAAATTAATGACAACCTTCATTTTAGAAGTTCCTGAACTTGTATTCTGTAAGTTTGGTTTCCTTGATAATGTTCAAAGATATGAACTGGGGTTTATTTTCCCTTGTTTTTTTCCTTCTTTTTTTTTTTTTTCAGGAGACAGGGCAGGACATTCATGGGACCTAAGTTGCATATATTGAACAGTAATGTGGAGAGGGAAGAGGGTTTCAGATGTGAATTAAGTCTGAGTTATAGTGACTCATAACTGACAACAAAACACCCAAGGAGAGACATGAGGCGCGATGAGATGAAATGAGACAAGCCATGAAAGAAGGGACAGATTTATGAGTTATTGGCCTACAGATGGAATGAGAAGATACACGAGTGGAGAATGAGATCATCACTCAGAGCTGTGCTAGGAGAAAGGAGGAGGCTCACAGGACGCGTCCTAGTAGCCTCTTGGGGATAGTAGGAAGGTTGATTTAAGCCACAGGAAAATCAGTATTAGTATGATACGAAAATTGGTTAAATCCTAAACCTCAGAGGGTCCTGATTTTTCTCCCCCTGCACTTCATAACACAAAGAAACAACAGTTAGGACAACCCTGAAACTCCAACAGTATGTGGAGACTTCACTCCATGATGGTAATCCCACCTAGCTAAAATCACATCAGCGTGCTTTCAGTTTCGGTAATGCAAGGCAGTTTTCAGCAGTTTAAAGAATTTGCTACATTGCTTAAAATAAAGACAAGAGGCAGAATTTTCACCTTAAATCTAAACAATACAGCAGTTTTCTGAAAATGTTAAAATTTGGCTCTCATCCCTGAAGCTGAAAGAACGTTTTCAGGTAACTGCATCCTCTGTGCTATGCTGCAGCCAAGGCATCACTTATGGATTATAAGTGGTGGAATTGATTGCCAAGTCTGTTTTGGTGAAATTTCAGTTGGCAAAATTATAATCCTTCTCAAGATTCAGTATCTTAAAATTTCTACCTAAATGATGAAAATAAGCCCTTCGCTGCTCACAAAGCACATACAGATCTGTGAAGTTTGTGTTACTGTAGTTGCAGCCCCTACCACTTCTCTGATTTTGTTCTCGTATCCTGTACAGAGAGATTAGGAGGATCTGCTTGGAGAAATGCATAGAAGTCTGTTGGTTAGCCGAGTCTGCAGAATCAATTGGCAACCTCATGAGAAAAACTTTTCTGGTGGAGTTTCTTCTTATATCTGCTTCTGAGAGGAATAGATAGGAATCGGGAAGAAGCATGGGAGTGTTTCTCACAGATTCAATCATTTTTGCTCTGTGACTTAACTTAGGGGGTCATCTGTGTGAGTGGTCAGATTGAATTAAAAGTCATTAAACTTGGTAACTGACTATTAGAACTGGAGGTAATCAATAGAGCAGTTTTGATTTGGTCAAGCCTCCATGTGTAATATTCTACATTTGGTTTAGCTCTTGCTGCCCTCGCTCAGCAGCAGCAGCGAGCGAGGAGTCGCAGTTTGCTTTGGGAAGGGCTGGGACCCGTGAGTGTGAGGACAACATGTGACTGAGCCCCGCAGTGGGTGGGTTTGCGGCGGCTCCCACTGGCCCTGTTCATTCCCACACGCCTGGGGAGGTGTGTGAGAACAGGGAATGGGGTACCTTGTGCTGGCTCCGTGAGCTCTCGGTGTCCCCCCGAGGCACACACAGCCAGGCTCGGTGTCCCCCCCGCTGGGAGCTGAGGGGTCTCTGTCCCTGGGCCCGACAGGCCCCAAGCGGCCCCTCACCCTGTCAGAGCAGTCCCAGCAGAGCACACACTCCTGAGGAGCCACACTGCCCTTTTGTTTGCTTTGAAACAGCCTCATGCTGCTTGGAGATGGAAGGGTGCTTTATGGAATCTGACAACTAAGCTGGAAAAGGATTATTGAGGTTGTACTTCTGAAATATAATTCATTTTTTGATGTTAGATTAGTGTGTTAGGTAGAGCATGATTAAGTAATGCAGGACCAGGCTGCGCCATGTAAATGAAATAACTACCAATCTAAAAGCTCTATGCTTCTAGAGAAATTGAGTCTTAGCAGCCATATCAGTTATAAGTGTGGGCATATTTGGTAACAGCAGAAAAACTCCTGATGGATTCCAGTTCCTGAAGCATTTAAGCATGTATTTAACTCCAT